GTTGTGAAGCACCAGCGGGCCACTTGTGAGACACTTATGAGACACTTGTGTGACACTTATGAGACACAAGCGGGCCACTTGTGAGGCATCAGCGAGCCACTGGCGAGGCATCAGCGGGCCAATTGTGAGACACCAGCGGACCACTTGTGAGGCACTAGCGGGCCACTTGTGAGACACCAGCGGGCCACTTGTGAGGCACCAGCGGGGCACTTGTGAGACTTTAGCGGGCCACTTGTGAAGCACCAGCGGGCCACTTATGAGGTACGAGCGTTCCACTTGTGAGACACCAGCGGGCCACTTGTGAGGCACCAGCGGGCCACTTGTGAGACACCAGCGGGCCACTTGTGAGACACCAGCGGGCCACTTGTGAGACACCAGCCGGCCACTTGTGAGACACCAGCGGGCCACTTGTGAGACACCAGCGGGCCAGCTGTGAAGCACCAGCGGGCCACTTGTGAGACACTTATGAGACACTTGTGAGACACTTATGAGACACAAGCGGGCCACTTGTGAGACACCAGTGGGCCACTTGTGAGACACCAGCGGGCCAATTGTGAGGTACCAGCAGGCCACTTGTGAGGCACAAGCGGGCCAGTTGTGAGACACCAGCTGGCCAGTTGTGAAGCACAAGCAGGCCACTTGTGAGGCATCAGCGAGCCACTTGCGAGGCATCAGCGGGCCAATTGTGAGACACCAGCGGATCACTTGTGAGGCACTAGCGGGCCACTTGTGAGGCATTAGCGGGCCACTTGTAAGGCACCAGCGGGCCACTTGTGAGACACCGGTGGGCCACTTGTGAGTCACCAGCGGGCCACTTGTGAGACACCGGCGGGCCACTTGTGAGGCACCAGCGGGGCACTTGTGAGGCACCAGCGGACCACTTGTGAGGCACCAGCGGACCACTTTTGAGGCACCAGCGGACCACTTGTGAGGCACCAGCGGGGCACTTGTGAGGCACCAGCGGACCACTTGTGAGGCACCAGCGGGGCACTTGTGAGGCACCAGAAGGGCACTTATAATGTACCAGCGGACCACTTGTGAGGCACCAGAGGACCACTTGTGAGGCACCAGCGGGGCACTTGTGAGGCACCAGCGGGCCACTTGTGAGGCACCAGCGGGCCACTTGTGAGGCACCAGCGGGCCACTTGTGAGGCACCAGCGGGCCACTTGTGAGGCACCAGCGGACCACCAGTTAAACAGGCCTGCTTTACAGGATATAAAACAAACAACTCCTGCATTGTATGGCTGTCCAGGGTTGCCAGATGAAATACTTCGTTTTATGCCAAACCATTTCCAAAAATGTGCCAGAAAAAATGCCAATATGGCAACCGTGTGGCTGTTCAGTTTAATTCAGCGTCTGTGGTTTAGTCGTTGCGAACGCGCTTTGTATTGCTGGGGTGCCGTGTTCGATCCCAGCTGTGGGCCTTGCGCCTCGCGTTGGTTTCGACAGTGGTTTCAAAAAGCTGACTCGTCCAGAAAGCAATGGCAAACTAGTAGACGTAAACTTGCCTAGAAAAACCACAACAGCCAAAAAATTGCTGGGGTTGGTTCTGCAAAGTCCTGTAAAGGATACGCAACTAACTAGTTTCAGTAGACAATTTCGCATTCAATATGTCATGTTTACAACCATTCTGAAATTACCCAAAATCAGTAAAATTCGCTGTCACTCTAAAGTTCGCAGTTTGACAAATACCAGAATAGATAAAATACTCTCATTATAGGAATTTTACATAAAGCAGAACACAGGAATACTTGTCACAAGTTAGAAATGTCGGAGAAGAATTCAGAAAAGTGATGAATGTCATAAAAGAACAGAAAAATAATGAACTTTAGAAAAGTCAATAGTATCAGAAAATAATATAAAAAAGTAATATATTTCAGAAAAAAAAGAATGTCAAATAAAAAATTTTGGAAAGTACTGACTTTGAGATAAATAATGATCGTTAGAAACGAATAATGAATGTCAGAAAAGTACTGCATTTAAGAAAAAGTAACGAATTTCAGAAAAGTAATGAATATCCGACTGGAACTGCCGAAAGTATAAAATTTCAGAAAAGTACTGAATATCAAACTAGAACTGCAGAAGAGAAAAAAATTTTAATTCAAAAGGAAAATTTCAGAAGAATATAAAAGTTCAGGAAAAAGGTAATTATTGTCAGAACGTGAGTGGTGAAATAACGAAGGGTCTTTTTCTAAACTTTCTTTAATTGTGAACATATGTCGGAAGCTGTACTGACAGCGTAAGTGAATGGAAAATTGTTTTACTTATTTCAACGGGTAAATAAAAGGATATTACAGTATTTTAATTAAAGTAATTTGTGTACATGAAAAAATAATAATAAATCCATTGAAAAAAGACACGAAACGTGTTCTGGAGCAACAACCGATATGAGACCTGGTCCTAACAGATTAGAAGCACGGTTCTTTCCCACTCTATGCTACCAATGGCAGATAGGCGCAATGGCGGGAGAAACGAGAACAACAGTTAAAACTTAGATAAGATTTGTCAGATGAGCAAAGACATATCAAGAAGCAAGAAGAGAACAGAAATATCAGATTGTAACGAAAGTGGAGGTTCTAGATGCGATAGATTTTTTAATCACACACACACTCACTCATACATACACACACACATCTACACACACGCGCACACACACGCACTATACACACACATCTACACACATGCACACACACGCACACACACACACACCACATACACACACATGCACACATGCTCACACACACACACCTAACACACATAATAAATAGCAAGGCCTATTCTCTTCCACTGTGCGACTCTCGTTCCATTGTCCGAAAATTACGGAAATACAACCGCCCACAGCAGGCATATAACACTAGAACCTCCTTAAGGTGAAATTGTTAAACGCATTCATTAATCTCCAGCCACAGAGACCCACTGTAATTTGTAACACAATTTACGCATTGTAAATTATACTTGTTCAGATTTCGCCGTAATTTAAATCTGACACATCCTGTCTTGCGCTTTCGGCTATGACTTGATACAGTGTATTTTATCATTATTTCCATTAGTGTGTTTATTTTTAAAGCCGAACTTCAGAGATTATAACTGAGATCATTGTTCTTCTTTCTGCGAAGCAAAGTGGTCGAGCGGTGTATTTACGTGCCCATATAGTGGCCCGGACTCAGATGCACCCAAATCTAGGGGCCTTGGACTTGAACCCAGCAGGAATGTTTAGGAGAGGGCGGGCTCATCCTAATGTGTAAAGGCATGAAGTGCCCTGTTCTCCCTCCCTCCCCCACCCCCCCCCCCCCCTACCTTTTTCCATCTTGCATAGGAGTTCTCGTTTTAAGTACTTATTTATTAATTTCATATTGCATAAACTAAATTTTATTTATTAAAATAAATGACATTTTAGTCATTCAGCACTTTGTTATTATTATAATTATGCTCTTAAACTAGACGTAGACACATAAAACCTGCGAAATGTAGATAATGAGTATCCTCTTATAGCTGGCCAGCGCCCATATCCAGGCTCATTTCTAGGCAGCTACATGATCCTTACGAATGAAGCTCTCAGTTCCGTGATATTTCTGGAACGATACTTGTGTGGTTGCAAATACATGCTTGGGTAATTGCAAATACATGCTTGGGTATTTGCAAATACATGCTTGGGTAGTTGCAACTCCATGCTTGGGTAGTTGCAAATACATGCTTGGGTAGTCGCAAATACATTCTTGGGTAGTCGCAAATCCGTGCTTGGGTAGTTGCAGATACATGCTTGGGTAGTTGCAAAGTAAGGGAGTAATTATTGTGACTGTGAGATATGAACGCATTTCTGTTAGTTCTCTCTATGGGTTTTGACTCATAGTAATAGATTATGTGGCGCAGAAAGCAACCACAGGCTCCGGGGTGGGCTTGTAATGGAATCTTCTCGAACATTTTAAATATTTACACTCTGCAGATGATATCTGTATCATCAGCCAAAATGAAGAACATCTGATACAAAAGACTGATAAGATCACAGAAATAGCAAAACAGACAGGGTCCAGAATCAATTTAAATAACAAAACTGCTGGAGATAAAACCCAAAAGTGAAAGACCCATAGTAATAGATATTGTAGTTTTGGAAACAGTAACTGACTTCACTTACCTGGGAAGCAATATCTCCTCGGAAGGAAATGTAGTGACTGAAATCAAGCAGAGAGTTGCAAAGGCAAACGTTGCTTACAACAGACTTCAGAGTGTCTGGAGATCAAACATCTACAGTACTAAAACTAAACTCAGAATATACAAAACATGCGTTAGGACAGTTCTCCTCTTTGGACAAGAAACGTAGACAACAGACAAAAAACATGCTCAGAGGTTTTGAGAAAAGACTTCTCAGAAGATTGTTGGGGTTCACATGGGAAGATAAAATCAGCAATTCTGGATCACAGCAAATGCCAAATTTGAAAGATAGATTTAAAAATAACATTTAAAAAATGTAGGTGGAATAGACACGCTATCAGAATGAAGACAGAAAGACGGCCGAAACGAGCAATGCGATGGACACCACAAGGACAGCGAGGAAGAGGCAGGCCCAGGGGCACTTGGATGCTAACCTGTGAGGCTGAACTCAAAGCTACGAGAAGGACAAAACTGGAGACAGAGAGGATAGCTCAGAATCGAATTGACTGGCGAAAATTTGTCTTTGCCTTATGTGGATCTGGGCGCGATGAGGATTGATTGACTGATGGGTTTTGAACTGTTGAACTAAAATACTACAGAACAATTCTTAGAATACAACAGACCAAGAGGAATACAAAACACCGACGCCCTGGATATTCTGAGCAGTACCCACTGGAACACATAACTCACTAGTGGACAGTTGGACGTCATGCCAGTAAATAAATCATATTAAACACACCGCACCACTGTGTGTCAAAACGCCGGCTCTTCAGCCGTTGTCTTGTGAGTACTATTTAACTTCTGCCCTGTCAAAAAATGTAGTGTAAAAATGCTGCACAATTGTCTTTACCTTAGACATAAATCCGTAGACAATCGGATTAAGACAGGAGTTGACGTAGCCCATCAGCCAGAAGCCTTGTCTCATGGGCTTCAGATATCCATGGTGAAGGGGCTGGAGGACATGGAAGGCCACTAGGACATTGTTGAACATGATGGGACCCCAGCAGATGGCAAACAGCGCCACAACGAACACCAGCATCTTGACCACCTGTGGTGTAAATAGTCCACCAGTAATGGTTAAAGTTGTGTTTGGTCTTGACCAAAAGTCAACTACTAATTGTAGAATGTGAATCTCGACTTTCTTTATGAAGAAGTGTTTACCAATAATGCGAACAGCTTTAATTGCATTTCCTATAGTACTAGAATTAACTGCCCGGTATTGCCCGGAATAGTGAAAAAAAGTCTTATTCTGTCACCCTCTACCTCATCTTGGTCATCAACGATGCCCTGTATGTGGGTTACTGGAAATTTGGATCTAACTGAAACCCTATATTTAATATCTCGTCTTAGGCTACATCTGTCTCTCAATCGCTGCCGTATCTTTGGTCAATGCCCTAAAGTGTACCCGAGTAATATCCTGTAATACTAACACCAGTATTTGACAGTTTGGGAGACAGATAAATGTATAATCTAAGATACATATAGATGCCTAGTTTCAAGAAAGACAACAGCGATACATATTTTTAAAAAAATACATATTCCAGAAAAGTTAAGGGACAAATATTCAAAGGAATACAACTCTAGCGAAAGTTTACTTTTGCCGATTGTCGCAATAAATAAAGAGATGCACAATAACCTAGGCCGCCAATATGATTGTTAAATTAAACATTGTAGTCATAATAGCAAATAAAAGTGTATCCCGCGTATTAGTCACAGTTTGGGAGGAATTAATACTTCATTTGTAACAAACACACGAAATACAGAAAGGGTTTGTGATCTATATTATAGATCATTAGTTTGTTTGTTTTAGTATCCAGAAGCCTTCAGTTCTTAACCCTTAGGCTCGGTATTATGGATATAGCAACCTTTCGGCCTTGATTACATTTTAAATACCGTAAATCTGGGATAAATGTGGCTTTTCTGCCCACCCCCGATAGTGAACCCGGACCACAAGGAGTTCGTCACCCGCTCACCGCGCAATCCGGTTTAGCCAACTTAGCTAGAGAGACGGGCTCAGATCATTAGTTTAACTATAATAGCAGAGGAAGTCTTCTAATGGGATGCTAATTTTGTTGTTGTTGTTATTTTGAAGCTCCACCCTGGCATTGCCGAGGGCCCTAAAAATAATCTTACGGTTGGACGGGTTTTGCGGGACCTCTCCATGGGTGATCCTCGTCGGCATGGGGGCACTTTGTGTCATCGGATGTTTATCGCTTGTGTGATTTCCTTGTGGGGTACACCTTACTTACTAGGGGAAGTCACGTTAATAGTCGTCCCCTTGTGGGATGCCGTTTTTCGTTTTTGAAGAAACACCACTCTGGCGTTTGCCGGGGGCCCTAAATATAGCCAGGCCATAAATGTGGAGTAACGGTTGAACGGGGTTTCTCAGACCTCTTCATTGGAGATCCTCATCCGCATGGCGACACTCTGTGTCACCGGATGATTATCGCTCGATGTGATGTTCTGGTGAGGTTAAACGTCATTCAGTCAGGGGAAGTCACTTTCGTGTAACAGCTAGATGCCGCTCGCTGAGTATCCGAAGATCGTTGGTTCAAATCCGAAAGTAGCTGGAGTTTTTAAAATGATCTTGGCTCTCATTTTTACCCGTATTGGTACTAGTTAAAGTTCTGGGAAGTAAAAACGGTCAATATGATGCTGATGCTACATCTACCACTGAGTGCCTATTGATCTATAAGATATGTCTGGCCCTATATGCTCAAACGCCTAAAGGCGTGACGGAAAAGGCTCATTCTCAATAATGACAGAACTCGCACTTGCATTTCCATGAATCTAGACTGTCTACAAGTAATGGTTTTTTTTTTTTTTTAAAGTATTTCGATTTCCCGTAGAAATTAAGCTGAGGTCAGAGCGACTTCATATTTTGTTAGTTCTTTTCTGTATCTCCAGCAGACAGTATTAAATTGTGCTATAAGGCAGTAGGGGAATCCCTGCCTATGGCGCTGGCGAGTATGACTAGCAAGACCCGCACAGGTAAGAAAAGTCTTCCAGAATAAGAGGAAGGATTTTCAGGACCATTTTCGCTTTCATATTTGACATGCTTCTTCTTAGCTTTTCGCCTGTCTGCACTTATTTTCTCCTTTTCTGGATATTTCCATTGACTATAAGAGAAGAGAATCTCAGCTATACATGTTGCCACACTATCGGATTCATAGACATTCTCAAGAAGACGGAGTCAGTTTTTTTCTTCCAATCCAATAGGTTCACATCAATCCAGAGGTTGCCCGTGGTGAGAGTCTAATGCAAATTTGTCCCTGTGCTATGCAGGCGTGTTTGGGAGTGAGCAGGCAGACATTCTGGCTCGATTGACCCCACTGGAGGGTTTGATACACTCCACACGGCAGTGGTAATCTTTCCTTTGGGACGAGGTAACAAGTCCAATGGAAGATAATGAAAAGCGTACAAGGAGAGAAGGATGTAGCGGGGAGTGTCTGCGAGCTCTGGGCGCCACTCGAGTCTTGGTGGATAGGGAAGAGGAGTAGTTAGCCAGATGATAACTGATACTATCAGTAAGGAGATTCTTCGCTGCTTTTCAAGGAGGCAGACGGATCTAATAGGTGATAGTGAATATTTACGAAGACGACCCAGTTAACCAAATTCCTTTTCTGGTTTCCCCCTCCTTGCAACACGGTACATGACATCATGTTACCTTGAATCCACATCAGGATCTATATCATTCATGTCCCACCATGCACACAACTTTATATCGTAAGACAGACTGACGTCGACATCTTCCATACGTATGTTTTTCACCATAGAGAATGTCGTTAGAGACTTTGGAATATTCCCATAAGCGCTCCGCCCCTATTTTCGGCAGCCATCCAATTTCGACGGTACAAATAAAAACTTGACCGTATGTCCGTCTAGCCTTGTTGCTTAGTTTTTAGCGTCGGCCAGACCACATTGTTAATCGCCATTGCATTATTCCCCTCAAACTTTGATGATCTATATGTGACTGTGCACTGTTCACTAGTTCCCAAAGAGCCTTGACAATATCTAGATTGTCATGCATTGATATAGCAATGTGTGGTGCAGAACCAACCACTATATCTGCCAGTTTATTTCCCAGCACACCTGCATGCCCTGGAGAAAAGAGCCAAAGAACATATTTTCCAACATACTTGCATTCCCTGTAGAAAATAGCCAAATTACACCAACTACCCAGACTTCTGAATCCATGCTCGCCACTCTGCATAGAGTATATCTGTCAATTCCTTTCTCGTTTTATGTCAAGAGAAACGAAAACATTCTTTCACAATATCCACGCCACAGTCACCGCTGTATCTGGGTCACGAACACAGTCTATGTCAGATCTACTTACCTGTCTCCTGGTGCTCTCCTCGTTCACAGAGCGGATCTTTTCCCGGTGGACTGTAGAACTTCTTAAAAAGTTGCACACTTCCAAACTTTCTTCTGGGGAAGAAGGATCTCTGTCTGGTCTCATGTAGCTGCTGGAAATGTTTTAAAAGGACTCTTTTGTAGATACATCTTTAGGAGCCGAAGTGAGATAATTTAATGTATTTAATGATTAAAAAAAACCTGAAAGAACTGATTAACCAGTCTTCTTTCTGACCATCTTTTCTACTTAGTTAATACATTCAACAAATGCATGAATTTTGCCCTTTATCAGTGAAAATATTGCTCCATCATCATCATCATGTTCATGATCTCTTTAAAAAACAATCAGGCTCACTGTCTATTCTTCCATTCCATTCAATCCTCTGCAATTGTTTACAAATCAAGTCCTAGTCTGAGTCGAGGTTTCAGCTTCACTGTGTTCAGGTCACCTAGTACTTGCTCTGTTCCTGCGCCAGTAAAAATCAAAAGAAATGTCCCTCACCGTCCCATTTGGAAAACCTGGTGAACAATTAGTCCCGGCACAATCCAGAATTATGCGCACGCAGTAAATGCATAAGGCAGAGATGACACTGGCAACGGTGGCCACCAGAAATGCAGTTTGTCATTGATGGAAGTAGTCGGTCACGATAAGTTGCCCACACACACATAGAATTATTCCATAAGGTATTTTACCAGCTCACAAGTAAACCGGCTACAGGCTATATTGAATACCACGACACAACCGCGGCACAATTAAAAGCCATTTCACATAGAAAAACACAGCTCACAGGGCTGCACTAAGCACTAAACTCAGTAGCTCAGGCAGCGAAACAATCGACTACCGACTAAATATGAAAACTGCATTAGCAAAGCGATGTCTGAAACGAAAATAACTCCTAGCTTTAACTCATTTTAACATTCTGCCATGCCTAATCCTCCATTTTAGACCGGAAGTCAAGGGTGGAATCCAGCACCTTTGGATTCTCTGATCAATGTTCGTTTAGGGTTTCTTTTGGACGTTCTCGCTTCCTCAGTCAACGTATTTCCCATTTTAGTGCCTGTTTAGTGATACACTGTTCGCTTCTACTCAGAATGTAAACAATATATCGCCATCTTCTTTGTCTTGTAACTGGTAATACAAGTGGTCCAGCCATTTCTCTTACTACTTCACCTTTCTTAAATTCATCTAATTTATTATATGATCATCAGTTTTCCCAGGCATCTGTTCTCGAACACACTTACCTTTCGTCCCATGTCTTTACTAGTTCTTCAACTTTCACTGGAAAATGTTAGAACTGAAATAACTTTGAAGTGAAAATACGTAACTTTGTTTTAAAACTGTTATTTGTAGCTTCTGCAGCACATGTTTACATCACAAATATTTACCTTTTGTTACAACGGTCGACCAGAGAAGCAAAAAATAATTCTAATATGCCAGGTGTGTCGTGAACGAGAAACAATGACTGCTGACTAAAATTGACTGATTTGCTGACTACTGGTTAACTGACTCGTCCATAATATAATCAATTAGTGCCCAGACCATTTTTCATACTTTACAACCGTAGGCACCTCAGTATAATTGGTTTGCACTGTTTAACGAGGCCTCGGGGAATTGCTCCTTTCGATTCGCACCCGTGTAGTAGTTCTTTGGGGTAGTATATGTTTGAGGCTGACCCCAGAGGGGGGCAACAGTAAACTACTGCACAATTCATCTAACTATGAGCAAGACTGAAGAAAACGGACAAGCAACCAAATCAGCTCTTCCTTTAGTGGAAAAATGACTCGATGCTGACAACACCGTAAGTAGTCTGGGTTGTACGTTTATCTCAAAATGTAATAAGCTGTGAATATAGATACAGTTTAAAGTTATAGAGACGAGAGGATCGACTTCATTGCTCCGGGTTTTATTCACATGTGGCTCGGTCCGCCTCCACAGAACGGCTACCTCCCTGCAGAGGGCTCCGCGCAGAGCAAGGCGTAAACATTTCACGTGTGAACTGAAGGACGCAGCCGTAAAACGATCCCATGACCTTTAGATCGCGAGGCAAACTGCTTGACCACTTCACCACAGATACCGCCTGTAAACATGGATTAATACGATAAATCCTGTTTACATTACCCATTGTAGAAACAGTTCTCAAAGCCGTAATCAGAAGCCCTATGTAACTATGTAATCGCTTTCCAGCTTTGTAGCAAAGTGGTTGCCTCATATCGACTTTGCTCCTGTGCCAACGAAATTAACGAAGAATGCCAATCACTATTGTAAAAATAATTGACTCATGCTGCAGTCTTAGCAAATCCTCAAGGATACACGCGAATTCAACTCATAAGCTGGAAGTCAGCAGTGCCAACACACACGACCCGACACTGGAAATAAAGTTCGTCGTCGATGTAAGCAGCCCGGCTCTCTAGCGTATTTGGCTAAACCGGATTGCGCGGAGACTGGTTTACGTACTCCTTGTGTTCCGGGTTCAATCCCGGGGGTAGGCAGGAAAGCCACATTTCTCTCAGATTTATGGTATTTACAATGGAATCAAGGCCGAAAAGTTGCGATATCCATAATACCGAGCCTAAGGGTTAACAACTCATGGCTTCTGGATACTAAAACAAACAAACAAACATGTAAGCAGCAGTTACAATAGATAAATAGTTGCATAAGCGACTAATCGCTTAAAGGCAACACACGATCTATGGTAACAAGCCACTCGTCATTTTCTGAATCTGCATTTTACAATCTAAACCACGTTGGCTACATTTTATATGAAATCCCCAGCTCACAGTGTCGCGCCATACACTCAACTTAGTAGCTGGGCGACGGAACTCTTATTTGTAAGGATGTAATACTTACTGGGTGGCCCTCAGCGACGGATGTTGGTACTTGACCTGCCACAACCTCCTGCAGATGTTGGTGTATGCCAGCGTCATGAGGGTCAGCGGCAGAACGTAGGCAACGACAAACATGTACAGATTGTACACCTTGGCAATCAGAGGCGAGTCCCAGTCTTCCACACACCAGTACCCTTTACGTGCTCCTCCGACCAGGCGTTGACGCTAACAGACATCAACGAAGAAACTCTGAATTGTAAAGGAAACTGAAACTCCAGGTCAGTAACAGGCGTCGCTGTTAAATATTTCCATATAAAAACAAAAGAAGCAGCGAAAAAAATCATGTTTACACTAGTGATGGAAGAGGCCTGCTATTGGTGGATTCATATTTTTATTGACCAATCAGAATTTAGAGGGTGATGTGGTCAACATCATACGGGTCGTTTTTAGTTCACATAACATTACTTAGTACCATTTTTTAGTCTGGGTAGAGCTAGGAGCAGGGTCAATTTCTAAAACAGAACCAAATCTTTAGGGATTCAAAACCAAGACCGTCTTTCCGGCATGTAAGCATCGAACCACCAGGCTACTGAAACTCCCATCTAAATCAGATAAAAACTTCTCTTGACCACATCAGTACCACATGTCTTTTACTAACAAGCCCTGGCATGCGCCACTTAAATACAACGCCATCTTTGCTTTTCGTGACATTTACTAAAGTCCGTTTCAGAAGTTGTGGACAACTTGAACATTCTGAACTCAGTAACGGTTCGGTGTAAGTTCTTCACGGTTGGCATGCAGCCATGTCCATATATGTAATTTGTTTTTAATGTGGTAAACATCTAGTTTTCAGTTTCATCTATTTTTAATGGGACAAATATCTATTTTTCAGTTTCATCTACTTTGTGCAAACATCTAGTTATCAGTGTCATCTACTTTTTTGATGTGACAAACATCTAGTTTTCAGTGTCATCTAGTTTTTAATGGGACAAAAATCTAGTTTTCAGTTTGCTTTTTGGCGGTATAGGGAAAGAAAACAGAAGTTGTGCCTAACTTTACAATCCTTAACTCACATTTGGCATGCAGCCATGTCCGTATAGATAATTTCTTTTTAATGTGGCAAACATCTAGTTTTCAGTTTACCCCTTTGTGGTAAATAAAATAAAATTATACATATATGTATAAGAGACACTGATTCAAAGCAAACAATCAGCATGCTGCAAGTTAATTGAGTAACGGGAACATATCAAAACATCAGGTTGCCAGCGTTTCATTGACGTTCCACTCACATGTGGTCATCTACAACATTGCCATTCTGTGGGTTAAATGATCACAGTTGATCGTTGTAGGCTTGATAGGATATCAAAATAATTACCATCCATAGCTGCGTATTGAATTGATTTCCAAACAATTTCCACGCGTGAAATATATACTCAATTTTTTTTTTTTAAATCGGTACACAGATTTTTAGTCAAACAAAGATCAAAGAAATTCACCGCTCTAAAAAGCAATATCTGTGCGTTTGTATATTACAAAATCATGTAAGGCCACGTGCAAAAATTCGTTTTCATCCGTACAAGAGTTTTAGAGATATTTGTTAAAATGTGAGGAAAGCAGGACTTTGGGAACGCACCATAGTAACCATTTAACCTGTGTTTACCTAGACACAGGGCTTATTTGGTTTAAAATCTGCTGACTGAATTCCAACTTTGGGTCAGCAACTGCCGGTTTGTAGCACCCATTAGTTAAAAATAAAATATGCTGGGTCTCCTCAATGGTGGTTTGCTGCAGTGGGCATGTGGTGCATGCACGGCTGTCTTTGGGAATACTGCGTTAGTGAAGCCCCAATCTCTTCCATGGAGAGACTTCTGTTTCTTTGTCTGAAAGTCGCGAGAACGGATTTGTCCATTACCATCCGCTACGAAAGCGAGCCCTGGTAAGTAGGAGATTGTGAAACACGTAGACAAACCTCAAAATAACAGAGGATTATAGTAGATACTCACATCAGCGACCGGGTTGCCCACTGGCTGGCCGGTAGACGACTTAGTCGACGATCGGGACAGTATTTGGGTCTGTTTCCTTTGACCGCATCAACACTACAAGATTACTTTTCAGGGCTCTTAGTGGTGTGCAATGCTAAGCCATTTTATGTGGCACAAATAACCTAGTCACAATTATAACCTAAAGCTTTCCCTTGAGAGATGCTGGCTGAACGTAGATTTTTTCTCTTTGTCGAAGCACCTACACACCTGTAGATACTCATTTGTGATATTATAAAGTTATCAGACTATCATTAGTATTTGTAGATTTACTCGGAGTATCAGCGATTCTACTTTACGACATTAAATAATCAACTGGTGTCACTAGCTAGGACATCTAACACCGGCATCAATTCCAGAAAGAGAATACGATAAGCAGACAGACGTTGCGGATAAATTACATGGGTAAATCTTCGCCAATGCCAGTCCCAGGAATGGATGAGAAAGGTGGAGGGCCTGACCTGGGCTAATTACTCCCCCCACTCGCCCCCTCCCCTCTCCGTAAAAATGAGTTATGCTCTAGAAACTTGATAAATAGAAGTTATAACGAGAGTATGACAGAAACCATAATCAGGCACTGACATAGGAAACAAATAGATTGGGAAAAACGGGGACGTCCAAGAGAAAACTTAGACTTTATGTGTTAGATTGGATTCGATCCATGACATGGAAATGGCACAGTATAGAATAGATTGGAAAGCAAACCATCTCCAGGTTACCTATAAATATATGGGAGGATGATGACGATGAGGCAATAAGTATTATACTAAGTCGAAGGATAAAACTGGCTGATCGACTGTGAAATTTATATATTGTGGAAACTCCGCTAGTAGTGAGACTTGGACTAGGAGAAGACAAGAAAAGAACAACTCAGTGGCAAAGAAAATACAGTTTCTGGGGATAACGCAAAGAATAAAATGGATGGATTTATAGAGCTTTCTTGACTTCTTCCTTTCTTCCTATTTTATCTTGGATTTATCTTGCCGTCCACCTCAAGTGCTGGAGGTCCCGGATTCTGGCTCCAGTGAAGCTGAGATTTTCCCCTCATGAACTTCCAGTAATTTCCCCCTTTTCTCAGGTTCTAGTGTGTATTTTTGAGCACATTAAAAAAATATCCCTTAGCAGTAGGAAATCGAAAAGAGTAGCCTAACGGTGCTGTCGAGGTATAATTTCGAGTTTAAAATCCACCTGAAGTATTTCAGGATCCTTGCCGGAGCTACGGTTTTTGTGCACTATGCTGAGATTCTTCTTACTCAGGCTGGGGTTATAAGAGCACTAATGGGTTACTATACTTGTGCTATGATGTTGATCTGTTGTGTAAATCATAAACCATTTCTATTTTATCTACCTTTCAGTTTCCTATTTTGGAGAGGCATATGGAGCGAGCCTTGGTGCATGTCTCATAGCTGTTGGCGTTTACTGCTTCAGAAATTCCATCAATACATCGCTTGCGTGGGCGACCTCTAGTATCTGCTTCCACTGTGTCCTAGTGACGACACGAGTGGTGGATTATGTCCGAAAGTTTTGAGCTGTAATCTCTATATGAAGCTTAGCCCTGGTCCCACTCAATCCTGTTTCATAATGCCTTTTTTTTTTTTTTTGAACCGAACGACAACAGTCCTTGACAAGTTCCCTGAACAACACACTCTGTGCTTAGCCACATCAGACTGGACAAAGACAAGGTTTTTACTGACCTGACCAACGAGGATGGGCAAGGCCATGACCACACTCAGTGACCATATGAGGATGACCAGGCGACGGGCTATCGTTACTGTACACATGTACTTGGCTCTCATTGGGTGCAGGATAGCATAGTACCTGGAATGGGTAGATAGGTGGATGGTTCAGTGAATTGATGGATGGATAGGTACAGACATAGGAAGGGTGCATGAATGGAGGTGGATGGATGGATGAATGGAGGTGGATGGATGGATGGATGGATGGATGGATGGATGGATGGATGGATGGATGGATGGATGGATGGATGGATGGATGGATGGATGGATGGATGGATGGATGGATGGATGGATCGATGGATCGATGGATCGATGGATAGTTAGATAGATGGATGGATGAATGGATGAATGGATGGATGAATAGATGAATGGATGGATGGATATGTAGAGGCATGGGAAAGGTGCATGGATGGATGGATGAATGAAGAATGGATGAATGGAGGGGTTGATTGATGGAGGAATATATGCAATGCTGGATAAGTGGACGGACAGACAGAGAAATGGTCGCATCGATAAAAGTAATGAATGAGTGGATGGATAAATAGATGGAATCAACGAACAAGTTTTTTTGTGTGAAGGGTTAAGATTTGGGCACCCAGGCCCGTCTAACATTCTGGGTGGACAGCTAGCCATTTAATATACAGATAAGAAAACAAATGAACGAACAAACATAATTATTTTCAAAGGTTTATGAATTGAACACACAGGCCAGTTTAACATTCGGCCCTTCTAGTCTCCGTCCTTTCATACATCATTTTATTCATACATCAAGCAATAGTAAACATTATCAATAGCATCAAAATAATTTAAAACAAGCGCTGAAATGTGCACATTTCTAACTACAATAAACCGAAGTAAGTAAAGTAAAGGACAATTTTCCACGCCTTTAGGCGTATAGGGCATATAGGGCATAGGGGCATATAGGGTTAGACCTATTTTGTTATAGACCAATCAGCACGAATGGGTGATGTGGTTAGCATCACGCCGGCCACCTTTACTTCTCGCGACTGCACCCGGTACCCACTCAAGGCCGGGTCGACCTGGGAGCCAAGGTCATTTTTGAAAAAATCCGTCTTCTCCAGGAAGCGAACCTCCGATCCGCGGCGCGCGTCTAGCTGCTTGGCCACAGCGACTTCCAGTAAACCGAAGTAGTAGTAATACATTTATGGAAAATGCGCGCTATTTCTAAAATATGCATACATACAAACAGACAGGTAGGTCAATAGCTGGATGGATGTACGTATGAGTGTATGGATCAATTGATGGATGAATGGATCGATTGATCGATGGATCTATGGATGGACGGACGGTTGGGCGGATGAGTTGATGGCTGCATAAGTACATAGGTAAGAAAATAAGCAGACAGACAGACTGTAGCAGGTATTCATGCAGACCGACTGATAGACAGACAGTACATCACCACACATGTCAGAGATGATGCCTCACCTCTGAAAGCTAAGTCCAATCAGATTTAACACAGAACAGATGATGCCTCACCTCTCAAAGCTAAATCCAATCAGATTTAACACAGAACAGATGATGCCTCACCTCTGAAAGCTAAGTCCAATCAGATTTAACACAGAACAGATGATGCCTCACCTCTGAAGGCTAAGTCCAATAATATTTAACACAGAACAGATGATGACTCACCTCTCAAAGCTTAGCCCAATCCGATTTAATACAGAACAGATGATGCCTCACATCTGAAGGCTAAGTCCAATCAGATTTAACACAGAACAGATGATGACTCACCTCTCAAAGCTAAGCCCAATCAGATTTAACACAGAACAGATGATGGTCAGATTCTGGAAGTAGTGCACAGCTTTACACAAGATCTCGCCGTACTCCCACGTAAACGTGAAAAAACGAGCAAACTGGGGAAGTAAATCAGTGTCATCTTTAACTTTAACCTGCCATCACTTACCACTTTCCCCTTCTGGAGTTTAGGCTGAGGGGTGGGGGTAGGGGTCTCTGAGACTGAGGTTTTAAGGCCGCGTGGCTAGTGTCGCCACCACACAGTAAAGATTAACCCCCCCCCCCCTCCCCGCCTCCCCCGCCTTTCCGACACACAAACACACACACACACACACAAAACAACAACAAAATCCCCAACCTTACCAAAGAATAGAAACCGGGTCTCCAACTTAAGGGTATAGCGTTCTTAGCCCTCCGACCAACCACTCCTTATGACTATCATCATCAATCCATTATTTCCAACAGAGACTCAATAACAAACCTCATTAACTGGCAGAACATGAAAATGTAGCCCTGTCTAGGTAGATCCATAGTGAATTGTTCAAGTATGACGTAAAATACTCATGTTCATTCTCCTGGGTGTATTGTGCATTGGTAAGTTTTTGTTTTTGTTTTTAGGGAGACCATGTGATCTTGTTCAAACTGCTTGTTTGTAAAGTGTTGTATTAACTGAGATATGTGTGTGTGTCATTAGCAGGAGAACCACTGAATCAAAAGGAGCCAGTGTTGGCAACACACAATTTTAGGTTTATTAGTTTGCCATTTCTTACTGAATTGTTGGCTCATAATTCCCCTTTCGAAATCATTGCAAGACAGTCTGCTGCTAAATCGCCCAGAAGCAAGAATTGAACCGGATACTTTGAAATTAAGAATTGTGTTTGCAACGCGGATAGTCCTAATAAGGAGTAGTTATTACTGCACAATAAGTGAAATTGCATCTTTTTGTAGACAAACCTTCTGGCGTTTACCATCTGTAAACTCCAGTGGAACGTTCCGGTTGTTCGTCTAGACTTGTTCCATATTTTGAATTTTGCGGGCATCACCGTTTTACAAACTATTGGATGTAAATTTACCTTGAAAAACCACAACAGCCAAACAAAAAATGCTTAGGTTGGTTACTTGTATGCTGAGTGGTCCTTGCCTAAATTGGAAATACAATATATCACTAGGGGGGGGGGCAAGAAAAGGCCCGGGGGGGGGGACGGGGCGATAACTAATTAGCTCTTAAACGCCAGTTCCATCACCAGGCGCCCACTTTGCTTCCAAATACTTTGTAGGCATGTAAAATCTGTTTGGTTTAATTCCTTGCCTCATCTTCTTGAGGCATAACTGCTTTTTTAGAGGCGTGTCGTGTTAATTCCGTAGCTCAACATAGGCTTTAAACACACTTTAATTCATATCACTAGGGTCAGGGGCGGGGCAAGAAAAGGCCCGGGGGGGGAAACGGGGCGATCCACTGCAGGCTAGTCAGCATTAGCTGTTGTATTTTGTGTAGATCACAGAGGTATACTGCCTGCGTAGTTCGAGTCTCATATCTTTAGAAGTCAAACAGCACGCGATACGTCATACAATCACTAACCGACAGGCTGCCATTTTTTCATTGTTCTCCATTTGCTGCTATCCAGTTATGGCTGGTTGACATGGAAACCTGAGTCGTTGTTTAAATAGTTCCCTGTCTTGAAGTGGGTTCCAGCTTACGACCACCACGCAGACAGAAAGGAGTGATAGCTACTGCACCACATTGCAGAGGTGCCGGGACCTGGGCTCTCATGCACCGTGATGCTCAGTCTCCCAACAGAAAATGTTGAAGGAAGTACTGGGAGGTGCCTTAGATCATTTCTAATGGAAGCGATGTGGGCATTCCACGACCATCTATAGAAGCTATCTTTATAAATATTTGTTTACGCAGTTTATTGTCATTCAGTACATTATTATTATTTATATTAGTGTTGTTATTATTATTATTATTATTATTATTATTATTATTATTGGTGTTATTATTATTATTATTATTATTATTATTATTATTATTATTATTATTATTATTATTATTATTATTATTATTAATATTAGTGTTGTTATTGTTATGAATATGATTATTATTATTATTGGTTTTATAATAATAATTATTATTTATATTATTACCGGGCAGATGAGAAAAAGTGGACGAAGACGACCTGGATAAAGAACTTTGACTGGACATCTGACCGTCAAAGGTGGGGGGGGGGGTGATGAAACAGTCAACAGCAATTGATGACCAAACCGCACGCAGTTACGGGACAATGATGATGATTATTATGCACTTAAACAATGCTTATGTCGTTTGAATCATCATCTAGGGGCATTTTACTCAACATGATCTTGGCTTCCATTTCAACCAAGCCTAAAGTGAAATCGCGAAAATGTCACCAGAAGTAAACGTGGCCTCTGCGATGTTGATCATATTACACATGGAGTACCTGTTGCTGTATTTAGGGAAAACAATTAAGAGCATCATATCTTGGGTGTGTTACTGACATGACAAGAATCCTTGATGATTTTCTCTTGTCTTATTTGTGTGGGTGTGTGTGTGTGTGTGTGTGCTGGCGCGCGCGCGTTTGTGTTTCCCCTGTAGGATTACCATCTCTTGTGTAACCAACGAACGAACGAATAAACCTTTTTTCAAAGGGTAGGGAATAGGGCACCCAGGCCCGTCTAGCATTCTGGCTTTCAAGTATCTCTTCTTAACACTTCGTTTTATTCATACATCATTTATTCATACATCATTTCATTCATACATCATTTCATTCATTCATCATTTTATTCATACATCATTTCATTCATACATCATTTCATTCATTCGTCCTTTCATTCATTCATCATTTCATTCATACATCATTTCATTCATACATCATTTCATTCATTCATCATTTAATTCATACATCATTTCATTTATTCATCATTTCATTCATACATCATTTCATTCACACATTATTTCATTCACACATCATTTCATTCATACATCATTTCATTCATTCATCATTTCATTAATTCATCATTTCATTCATACATCATTTCATTCATACATCATTTCACTCATAAATCATTTCATTCATACATCATTTCATTCATACATCATTTCATTCATACATCATTTCATTCTTATATCATTTCATTCATACATCATCAACAGCAGCTAAATATTTTTTACAAGCACAGGAATGTGCAGATTTCTAGCTACTGTAAAGAGTACTAATTGTAAAAGTGAAAATATGTCAAAAATGGATCTTTTATGGAGGTATGCAAGCTGTGCATAAATATTCAAAAATCTTCCGAATGTATGTGTATGGACTGGTGGTATTTTCAATTTTGTTGTAGAAGATGCTTCCATAGATGAGCTGCGGGGTATCTTTTTCCTCTTCAACATTCCTAGCCCTTGAGGTTCGTTGCTGCAGATATCACCCATTTCCATTCATCTCTGGTGGACCTTTTCTTTCCAGTTGGTGACACCAAGTGTTTGTAGGTATGTCTGGATATTATCTCTCCATCGTAATCTTGATACGTCCAAAGATTCGTCGTAAGACTCGAGGTTTTCAAAAACCTGTAATAAGGCTTCATTTCTTTTAGCTGTGCTCCAAGTTTCACAGCCATATAAAACTACTGGTCTTATCAACGTTTTATATATTTTGATCTTGGTGTTTCGAGACAAACACTTTGACTTTAGCAGATGTTGTAGGGCATAGTATACTTTATTTCCAGATTGTATTTTAGATTGTATTTCTTCTCCCAGCATGTTGAAGCACTTGAAGTTTGCACCCATTTACTTATATGTTTCCGTTCGTTCGATATTCTTTTTGTCGACTTGTATGAGGCCAGAGTTTATATACTTTCCATGTCTTCCATCCATAGCTAAGGAGTATGCTAAACTTGTTTTGTAAAGGTCTTTCCTAAGTTTAGGGATAGGTAAAATCGGCGTTTGCTATGCTTTTTATTATATTTAAACAACCGTCATAAGAAACATGGAGCCTATTGGGATAATATTTTGTGAATACATTTCACCTTGTTGACAGGTAGACGTTCGCGGAGCGGTTGTAGCATAAGACCTTTGTTTGTTTTGCACCTGACTGTCCCAGGATTATTAATTATTAAGTGAATGGCGCGCTTTTGCAGTGAACTAAGCCGCTTGATAACAGAACTGCGATAGCCAGCCTATGTTATAGAGCAATCAATATTCCATATATTTCTGGATGTGTGAAGTATAGAATATTGTTATAATAATTTCATCAAGAGAGTTTTTAATCTGTGCAAACTGGCATACTTTTGTGTGTGTGTGTTAGTTGTGCCATAAGAACTTATATAAAAGAATTGAATATTAGATCAGCGTCAATCGTCAACCCTAATGTTTTGTGCTTAGTTATACTTTCAGACAGGTACAAATCCCTGACACCTCATTTAACAGTACAGCTATACAGCACAGTTACCAAATAACATGTAGTCCAAAGTGTGTGTGTGTGTGTGAGGGAAGGGGAGTGGTGTTTTTTCTTTACATTAATCAGAATAATACATATTTCGTTTTGATTTAGTTAAATATTTCCAGGTCGCATTAACGTTCTCCAGATATAGCAGACGTGTGTATGTTTGTTGTCTGTACAGATATCACTCAATATTTTGTTTGTAAGTCTCATGTATTTGGTCTGGTTTCCATTTTAATCTCCCTCTAAGCCTCAGTTATTCGACTTCAGCCGAGTTCTGTCAGTTCCATTATTCTTAAATCTTGTGTCATTTGTTTCACATTGGAGAATCAAGCGAAACAAAATCCTACTTTCAAGATTCCATTCAGTTAATACTGCAGCATCAGTTTTGTTCTTTTAGCAAAGTATCTTGAAAGAGGGCAGGAGCCAGAAAGAGAGGGACAGAGATAGTAAAACAGATAGAGTCACGGCACGGAAAGAGAGACTAACAAAGAAAGATCAGTGCTGACAGAGCATTAGAGAGAGCGCGCGCGCTTGAGACCGAAAATGGGAGAGAGAGAAACAGACATGGATACAATAGCAGACACTGATAGAGATAGAGAGAAAGATATGATATGATGATGATGATGATGATGATGATGATGATAATGACGATAATGATGATGATA